TTACGACACTATAATAAAATTTATTTTTCAATTTCAACTCAAAATAAAAAATACGATATTTTTAAGGTTTATTGTTGTATGTTGAGAGTATTGTTTATTTTAAAAATTGTTAGAATTGTTAGAATTACGGTAAGACATCAATATGTACAGATTAGGGGTTTTCAACTTGATTTCTACAAAATTTTTGATTTCTATTACTAAAACTTATAATTACATAATAAAATTTATTTTTTGGCTTTAATTTAAAATAAGAAGCACACAATTTTTAAGTTTTATTTGATTTATATTAAAAATATTTACTTTAAAAATTTTTAGAATTGCTCTGACAATTAAATTACAGATTAGGGGTCCTCATGTCAGTCTCCAAAATATTTTTGGTTTCTATTATTGAAACTAACTACTCCATAATAAAACTTGTTTTTCAGTTTTAATTTAAAATAAGAAGCACACAATATTTAACCTTTATTTGATTTAAAAGTATTTACGTTAAGAATTGTTAGAATTATGGTAGCAATTGATCCACAGATTAGGGGTTCACAACTCGACTTTCACGGACTTATAGATTAAAGATACGGGCTTAAAGATATTAACTTTCTGTTAATAAAATTTGAACTGCACTTTAAAATAACAGTTCGAAACTGTTGTTTTGAAAGTTCCATTTAATTTTAACTACTTTGAAGTAATTATCAATGTTAAACGATAATTAATATCAATTTTTGCTTGATATAAATATTATAGATCTTCTGATCTTTCGAAGTTAATCGTCGAAACAAAAATGAATTAAGAGGCAAAATAAATTAGTGATCCGATCGATATGTTATCGATCTTGTGATGTACAAAACGTGTAAAATTACAAGCTGCGAAAGTGTTAATAATCCGCTATCTGGAATATTTCTCATTTTGCGAGAAACATTTCTGTATTATCGCGAACATCGTATTTCGAGAAACCCGACAGATAACAGACAGAAACAATGAGAAAGAAAGAAAGAAAAAAAGTGAAAGAGGAACGCATAGAGAGAAGAATAGAGCGTATTTTCATGGAAAGCGTATCGCAACGAGAGTGTACCTGGATAAAATCTCAATGCGAAGTTTGCTCAAGTGAATCAAACGAAAATACGAAGAAATGTATTTTTATCGATTGCGGTCTTCGATGTATGGAGAAACCTTTCCGCATAATCTCAATCACGATGCTGTTCGACAGGAAAACTTACAATTGGGTAAATCCACGATAAATTCCTTTATTGCGATTTAGAAGAAAATTCCTTTATAGACTGTAACGGATTTCCTCATTTTATTCACGTGAACTTACGCGTGACCTTCGAATTCGATTCACGGTTGCTGATAATCTCTTTAAGGTCCGCCAATGCGAGTTCTAACAAAGACGTAAAGTTCGCTTCAGACGTTTCTATTGTTTCGCGACCTTTACTTTGCACCTCGTAAAACTTACTACAGGGTCATTTTCGACGTTCGATTTCAGTTATCGTTGTAACGTCACTCCGGAGTACAGTCACAGAGTACCAGAGGCGACTCTCTCTGTCGGCACCTTTGATCTCTCGAAAACGTCCCTTCAAATTGGTTGCACAAACGAGCGGGAAATTTGAATCGAGCAAATCTACTTTCACGTCAATCTCCAATAATTTGAAATATATTTGTAATAAATTTTCTGTATATAATATTGTCTTTTGAGATATTTTTATCAATTTTACGCCGTTGAAAAGTTGAAAAAGAAAAGAATAAAAATGATTGCTCTACAAAATATATTTGAAGAATATGTATTACGGAAATGATTATTACAAATAACTTGTAAGAAAATGAAAAACTATATATCACAAGAAATTACAGATGAATGTGTTACAGAGATATGACAAAATATTTATTACAAATAAATTACTGGTGAATATGCAGGTTTAAACTATTCTTTTTCCGCCATACTTCTACACTGTGCGCATGCGCAGCCCCGATTCTTTTGATTTGGACATTTAAACTGGTCCTCTGTCTCTCTAGGAGGTTTCCTTGTCTAGTGTCGCCTCTTGTTATATCTACTCTTTGCTACAGAATCATTTTTGACGTTACTCAAAGATTTTTTCAAAAACTTTTATCGACGTTCGATTTCAATTATTATTGTAACGCCGCTCTGTAGTAGCCTCTGTTTTATTGAACAAAAATAAAGACGCAAAACGGGGATTTGCTAACGTTTTTATCAATCAATTCACTTGTACTGTGCATCGTCACAGATAAGGATACGTTCACAGTTCTTGGTATATTTACGTAGGGCTTAAATTGGATTTGGTAACTGTGGAGTTTAAGAGTTGCAGACTTCCGGTCCTTACTTTCGGCCCTTTTGTGGTCTGGACATTTGGGATTTTAGAAATTAGGCTTCTGATTATTGTCTTAGCTTTGGACAAGTTAATTTGACTTGACTGATGATTGGCTTTGGAAAGTTTGGGGCTAATCAGATATTGGTTATAAACTCAAGGATTTTGGGGATTTTTAGTATAAGTACTAGGATTTTGAGATTATAGAACTCTGGAATTTTTATTGTAAGTCTTAGAGTTTTGAGATTATAATGCTCTGGGATTTTTATTGTGGGCTCTAACACTTTTGGGTTATAGAATTTTGAGACTTTTACTTAAAAATTTTTATTATGGGTCATAGGAATTTTGAGATTATAGAAATTTGGGATTTTTAGTCTGTAAATTCTAGGATTTTTGGATTAGAGTATTTTGGGATGTTTATTACAAGCTCTAGAATTTGGAGATTTTGTTATGGGAATTTTTTTTTAATTGTGTATCTCAAAGAGAATATTTTACGTCCCAGAAAATGTCCCAGTATTTCAATATTTTAATATTAAAAATGAGAAATTTGCGTTAACCTTCTTCGAGCCGTTTCGCTATAGTCATATCTGTCTGGAGAGTCGGCGACGCACCGTTTATTAGTCATATCAGTGTACTTATATCAGTCTATTTATACTACGAATCCTAGAACTCCTATAGCGATGCAGATGAGTAAGACTCCGGTCAATTTTTATATTTTGCATCTGCACTTACGAACACAATCCAGAGTTAATTTTTATATTTGTTTACCAACACTTCCAAACATAACCTCAAATCTATTTTTACATTTTTCCTCGACACTTACAAACACAACCCAGAGTTAATTTTTATATTTTTCACTAACACTTACTAGCATAACCCCAAGTCAATTTTTATATTTTTCCTCGACAGTTATAAATATAACCTCAAATTTATTTTTGTATTTTTCCCCGACACTTACAAACATAACTCAGAGTTAATTTTTATACTATTTTTCACTAACACTTACTAGCATAACCCCAAGTAAATTTTTATATTTTTCCTCGACAGTTACAAACATAACATCAAATCTATTTTTACATTTTTCCTCGACACTTACAAACATAACCTCAAATAAATTTTTATATCTTTTCTCAATACTTATAAACATAACCTCAAAACAATTTTTATATTTTTCCCCAACACTTAAAAACATAATCTCAAATCTATTTTTATATTTTTCCTCGACACTTACGAACATAACCTCAAATCAATTTTTATATCTCTCCCCAACACTCACCTAACCTACAAATCTCTACAATCTCGTTACCCAAAACCATAAATATCACCGCTCCAAAAATACCGCAACTAAAAATACACACCACTCCAATTAAAAAAAGTGACATTAATTTTCCTAATAGTTATGCAAAGATCAGAGATAGCGATTAACCATCCATTTGAAAATTAATCGTTACATCTTTTATAGTCGATGTTCTTACAATAGACCCACTGTTAAATTGAATAATTGATGATATGATGCTAATAATACAGTAATCCATTTACAGGTGAGCCAATTGAAGAAGAAATACCAAGAGAAAAATTACGGGTGGCCTTAATTGGATTGAACTTTAGTAGATGAATGCACGCAATTTGTTCATGTACGTCCAATTAAGCTACAATTAATGCTTGAGGCGGGCATTAAATTCCATCCAGTTGTAGACTTTCTATTTTCAATAATTCCAGATCTTCCTTTGTGAGAACTCGTTCAATTGAACTGATTTAACAAAACGTTCCCCGTCTCTGTCGCTTCCTTTTCGTTTGTTGTTCTGTTCTTTAAGAAGAAGCTCTCGAAATTGTTTACCTGCTCATTTTCTTCTTTTTAGGGCAATAATTTTCTTCTTTATGACATCATTAAATGATAAATAATATAATGAAGTTAAATGTACTAACTCTTTAATGTTCATTAAATGAAGTGAAGTTTAATCTTGAATTTAATTAACCTGTCACGATCGAAAATTAATTTATAATTCATTAAAACATCTCATTAGTCTTTAGACAGCTATTAATTTGAATTGAATGTTCGTTTTTGTAATAACAGTTGATTGAATAAATATTAGCTTTTTGAACAAGAAAAAAAATTATAGAAGATAAATAAATTAATATTATATTATAAATAAATTATTTATATGATATATGTAATATAAATATTATAAATTATAATGGTGAATAGTTTATTAAATATAGTATTCAAGTTACAACTATAATTTTGAATCATACAAATAAAATTATTTCAGTCAGGTTGAAGATGTAAATTATAATATTGAATTATAAAAATAAAATAACTTTAACTATATTAAAAGTACAAAATATAATACTGAATAATAAAAATAAAATAATTTCATAAAATAGCATCAACCATATTGAAAGTACAAAATATAATACTGAATTATAAAAATAAAATAACTTCAATAATACTGTATATATGTATAAATTACAATAAAATAAAAATAAGTTAAATATGTTAATAAATAACAAATATTTTAATAAAAATAACAAATCTTTTCAGTAATTTTAAATCTCTAAAAAATTTGAAACTTAAAATTTCTTTGTAACGAATTTATTCAAAAATATAAGTTTGATTTGTATATAGAGTTCTTTCGAGTGTAATAAATAAATAAATATTAAGGAAAAGTTTATTTTTAGTATTACCTGATCGTTACAGCTACGAGAGCAATGATTACTCCCACCAGCAACAGCGCGATCAGCACCCCGCATATCATGTATACTCTGTCGGCTGGAGGATCTGTATAAATAAAAAAGATTATGTTATTACAATACTCTGACAACGTCGTTCAGCAAATTTCAATTCTTTCCATGTCTTGCAATATCAAATAATTCGTGTACATATATTTTCACGCGCTGATTACGATTCTCACCGTTCTTTACCGTCAGTAGACTAAATCATTATTAATGGTATGGCATATAACAAGTAATTGTATACATTTAATGTTATAACAAATAATAAAAATTATCAAATTAATAGAATGATAATAGTACATTATAATTTTTGTTAACAAACTTTTCTCGAAACGTAATGATAGTTTTTATTACGAGATAAAGAATTAATTTTGAATAATACTGGGTGGTTCAGGTGAGGGGTCCTGGACGTCACGTGACCCCCTCGAGCGCGCAATTCAAATATCGTTTGAATTACGTCTTATCGTTTGTTTATTTAAATTGTAACTTCATATTTAATATTTGTTAAGATACTTTTCTCGAATGCTAGTTTTTATCACGAGATAAATTAATTTCCAATAATACTGGGTGGTCAAGGGGTCCTGTACGTCATATGACGTATTATCTTGACCAAGTACTAACTTTTAATAATGAAAACTCAATTACGTCTTATCGTTTGCTTATTTACTGTGTAACTTCATATTTAATTTCAAATAAAATACTGCACATTTTTAACACTAAAGTGTTTATTTAACGTTAAAATACGGAGCTTTAAAATAAATCGTTTAATCTATTTGTTTGCGCACTAATTCCCCAGGTTCGTGTCAACATGCCGATCACATCGAGTCCAAAATACGGAAAGTAAATATTTGCACAAAGTTTCAAATACTTTTCGTTCACTATCGAAAGTTTGTAACATAAAAGTTGTAATATAAAAGCTTGTAACATAAAAGTTTCCCTGTACCACGTGCACTTTTGTTTATCCTCATCCCGTAATTTATTATTCGTTTTAAGCAAACTATTGTGACCTCTCAAGCAGCCAACGCGTCAAAGGGGAAAACCAGGAAAAACCAAAGACCCGATATCTGATTTAAAGACCGTTTTCCTGGAAGAATATAAAAGATACGAAAAGTTATTTTTAAACGAGGCTTTGTAACGGGTTTTAAGAATTAAACGCGTTAAGCACGGAGGATAAAATGACGCCGGTGTATACACGCCAGGTTATGACGTTATAAAAATGATGGCGTAATAGAAGTTTCACGCACGATCTTTATTCATCTTCGGCTATTGATTATAAAACCAGCTGGCCCTGATCGTTTATACGACGCTGTGGCAAAGGTTTTATATTTATGTGACGTCAAACAAAGTAAGTGTACCGTAACTATTACGTTGTTTGTTTATTTTTAAATCCTTTTCTACTACGCCAGGCTACCACGTTTCATTGTTGTAGTTTACTTAATGAACTATCAGTTGATAGGTATATTTAGAGCGAGCGTAATCAATTGTTATAGGCTCGGCATTGCCGAAGAATGGACACGGGACAATATTAATAGTGGTACGTTGTTATTGTCGATAGTGGGACTAATATTAATAGCGATACGAATGTCAATATTGATGTCGGTGCAAGTTAGTTTCAGTTTTAGTATAAATATCAGTATCAACAAACTAATATATAACAATACAAATATCCTTACACATAAATGTATCTATGTATCAACATATTAGTACACATGTGTATTGACATACGAATATACATTATATATCAGTATCAATATTATTATACATATCAATATCAACATCATAATACACAAAGGTATCTATGTATTAACATATCAGTGCATAAATGTATTAACATATGAATATACATCAGTATCACTATCAATATGTCAGTACACAAATATACTGACGTATGAATATACATTAATATCAATATCAATATTATTATACTTATCAGTATCTGTATCCTAATATACTAATACCAATATCCCAACAGACTAATGTATTAATATTTTAACATATCAGTACACACATGTATTAATATAGTAATACATGTACATACAAATATACTGATGAACCACTATATTGATATATCATTATATTGATTATATTGATTTATATTGATATATCAATGTCCTCATAGACATATCAATATACCACCGCATAAACGAATCATATACCAATATTATAATACCCAAATGTACCAATTCTACGATGTATCACTACATCATTATTCATCAATTCACCAATGCATGTACATACAAATCTACCAATTCATCAAGGTATCAATCTGGCAATGTTCCAAGCCATTGGTTTATCAAGCTATCAATTTATTAACTTATTGATCTATCAGTCCATTAGTACATCCAACTAATAGTATATTAATCTAGTCATCTATCAGTCTATTAGTATATTAGTATATCAGTGTATCAGTCTATCAATGTATCAATCCACCAACATGCTAATTTATCAATTTACCCATCCTCAAATCTAGCAATCTATCAAGTGACCAATCCTCAAATCAATCAATTTGTCAATGCACCAATCTTTCAATCTATTATTCTATTAATTCCCCATCCATCAATCTACCAATCTATCAAGTGAACAATCCCCAAATCAATTTGCTAATGCATCAATCTCCCAATCTATCGATCTACTAATTCCCCAATCCATGAATCTACCAATCTATCAAGTGACCAATCCCCAAATCAATCAATTTGTCAATGGATCCATCTCTCAATCTACAATCTACTAATTTCCCAATCCAACAATCTACCAATCTATCAAGTGACCAATCTCCAAATCAGTCAATTTGTCAATGCACCAACTTTCCATTCTATCAAACTATTAATTCCCCAATCCATCAATCTTTCAAACTATCAAGTGACCAATCCTCAAATCAATCCATTTGTCAATGGAACCATCTCTCAATCTATTATTCTATTAATTCCCCATCCATCAATCTACCAATCTATCAAGTGAACAATCCCCAAATCAATTTGCTAATGCATCAATCTCCCAATCTATCGATCTACTAATTCCCCAATCCATGAATCTACCAATCTATCAAGTGACCAATCCCCAAATTAATCAATTTGCCAATGCACCAATCTCCCAATCTATCAATCTACTAATTTCCCAATCCAACAATCTACCAATCTATCAAGTGACCAATCCCCAAATCAATCAATTTGTCAATGGAACCATCTCTCAATCTACAATCTACTAATTTCCCAATCCAACAATCTACCAATCTATCAAGTGATCAATCTCCAAAGCAATCAATTTGTCAAAGCACCAATATCCTAATCTATCAATCAATCAATTTTTCCATCTACCCATCTACCAATTTATCCATCCACCCATCTGCTCATCCACCCATCTACTAATTCACCTGTCTACTCACCCATTCATCAACTCATGCACCCATCGACTAATTCACCAAGCCATCTATCAATCTATTGATATACCTATCAGTATACTACCACTAACACCAATATTAATACCAATATATACATTGATACTGCCATTTCAACAAATAAAAACCAAACGTCCTCTAAAAGTTCAAAGTCAACATCTCCACACATTTCTGAACCGATAAAATAAAATATTTAACATCTAATCCTTCCTAAACACTTTCCATTCGATAAAACAAAGCTCCTCCACGAACAATTAATTTCACACATAATAATTCGATTCGGCTTACATACAACATTATCATAATCCCGCGTCATTGGTACACATTTTTCCTTTCTTATAGAACAAACAATACTTAGTGAGAAGATAAAAGCATTAGGAAGATTATCGCGTGTCAGTTAACGATTGAAGAACGTTACAAAAGAAATCGATTCCGAAGCGTAATAAAATACGACGATAAACCGTTTGAAAAATCGTAGTATATCGAAGATTGATCGGAACCCGTTGATTTCGTCCAGCGTTAATCTATCATTGTCAAGTTCACACGTGTATCACGAGATCAACACGTTCGCTCAATTACGAAATCATCCTATATGATTCAGTTCGAGGGTGTTCGTCCCTTCTACGAAAACGAATAAATCGATACTCGTCGCGTTTAAGAATATCCACGGTTGATGTTCCTTTTCTTAGTTCCTTCTCAAATAGACTTATTTACTTTCGGGTTAAAAATACACGCGGTATACACACATGTATAGGAGCCAGACGGGGACTCATCATCGGTGAAATTAATTATAACTATGATTAACCTAGACGGATAAAGGTTTAATCATGGTTGCAGTCATTTGGGATTAATCATAGGGTGCAATGAACTGCATGGAGTCACAGGTAGAGTAGATCATTATAGCGTGTGGAGAACTATAATTGTAAGAATTTAGGGGAAGCTATATGGGTATATTATAGGGTTATAAGCGATAGGGTTATGGGGTGATAGGGTGACAGGGTTATAGTGACAGGGTGATAGGATAGGGTGATAGGGTGATAGGGTGATAGGGTGATAGGGTGATAGGGTGATAGGGTGATAGGGTGATAGGGTGATAGGGTGATAGGGTGATAGGGTGATAGGGTGATAGGGTGATAGGGTGATAGGGTGATAGGGTTATAAGGTGGTAGGGTTATAAGGTGATAGGGTGATAGGGTGATAGGGTGATAGGGTTATAGGGTTATAGGGTTATAGGGTTATAGGGTTATAGGGTGGTAGGGTTATAGGGTTATAGGGTGGTAGGGTTATAGGGTTATAGGGTTATAGAGTGATAGGGTTATAGCGTGATAGGTTTATAAGGTGATAGGGTTATAAGGTGGTAGGGTTATAAGGTGATAGGGTGATAGGGTGATAGGGCGATAAGGTGATAGGATGATAGGGTGATAGGGTGATAGGGTTATAGGGTGTTAAGGTTATAGGGTGATAGAGTGATAGGGTTAAAGGTTACAGGGCTATAGGGAATATAAGGTTATAGAAATTAGGAATACAGGTTATAGGTTACAGGGTCATATGAATATTTTAGCTTAAGCTACATAGGCACATTATGTACCTATCAGAGCAAGATATACCACTGGTAAAACTTTGCACTGATAGGTCTTTCCATTAGTGCTTTT